TTTTGGCTGCCTCCATTGACGCTGGGCTGGACCCTAGCTCCGCAAATAATGCTGTCACAGAGTTTTCATCGTAAACGTTATTCCCTTGGAAAACGGTCCTTCCTTTGAACTTCTTGTTAGGATCATCATCGGGAAGCTCACTACCCTTCTCGTAACAAGCTTCGAAAATCCTTCCAATGTGGACCTTTTTCCCCTTTGTTCTGGGCTTCTCTGATGACACGCCTACATTCATTTACTCTGAACTCATCCCAAGCGCCTTTCTTTCGGAGGTTTTCCCATTCCTTGTCAAGGGCGGCTTGGGCCTTTGGCGTATTGGCTACTTCGGCCTTCGGTACATGTCTGGCTACGACTGCACTGAACAGTTCAAGAGCAACATCAAATTCAACTTTCTTGATTCGCTCTTTGACCAACTCACGCAATTGCGGGCGATGCGGCTCCTTTGCAGGCTTGTCTCGTTCCGGGAGAACGGACATTGCAGGCGCTTGCCGGATCACAGGCATCGTCGGCTCGCCCTCGCGGGCGGCGATGGTTGGCTTTGCACTTGATGCAGCTTCGGGGTGCTCGGATCTGGCCTCAGTCGAGACTGTTGTCTCGAGCACAGCTTGCTTGGCATCTGCACGGAGCTGCTCTTCGTACTGCTGGGTAAGGGCCTTTCGGTCCTGGCTGCCGAGCATGACCCACATGTCAGACGGGATATCTGGAGGCCTTTTGGATCCCGCCTTCCTACGGACGAGCCGAACCCCATCCCACACGTGGCCATCGGGCACTGGTGACCCGTCAGGCATTCTGCTTGGGTCGAATGCACCACTCTTGTCAGGCGTGACAGGCTTGGTCTTCGCTTCGGATTTCTCCGATGCGGCGGGTTCCTCAATGTGGGCTTGCCCACGCTCCAACGGCACAGGATCACTTCGTGTTTTAGCATCGGCAACAGGTGGATGAGATGCAGGGTCTTTCAACAACCTCATCGGGAAGATGAACTCATCCGTTGGAAGCTCAATGCGCTTAGTTCGCTGTACCGTGAGGGACGCATGTTCGATATGATAATCGAGCCCTTCTAGCTTTGCAACAAGGAATTCACCTTTCCATGCGAACCCTGGCTGAATGTGGTACCCGAGAAACACGCCTTCATTTGATGTTGGCGAAGTCTTGCCTGCCTGATTGTCAGCTCGTGCCGGGTTGTTCCAGAACAGCACCTTTGCTCCGAAAGGTATCTCAGCTTCATCAAAGGTCTTGTGAAACCTGAGGTACCATGGCGACTCGTTTCCATTCAACTGCGGCAGGATGTTGGTTGCAACTGCATTGTGCTGGATTGCAAATGGCCACATCGACAGTGGGGACCCTGACTGAACAAGATTCGCACGCGCTCCCTCCAATAGATGTCGGATTTCCCTTTCAACAAACGATTTGGACGAATCGACGTATTCAATGGAGGTCTGATGACGGTATCCCAACTGCTCTATCGCGGCTTTCAATTCCCGGGAGTTATCGGTGTAGAGAACCTCAACCTCATCCCTACCGGAAATGAAATGTTGGATCCCTGCAACGGATTGCTCCGTGCTTTTGCTGGTCGACGGGTACACATACCTGAACTGCGTATGCACGTCCTTGATCACGAGAGCACACCATTCACCTTTGATACCTTGCTCGATGTTGGCCTTGAGAATCACATGATCAGCAATGATGTGATCTCCAAGCGCTTTAGTCTCGAGCCTTCCCTGCCCACCTTTCGATCTTGCATATGGGGCAAGCATCTTGGCACGTTGGCAAGTGCGGCAAAAGGGATTCTTCGGATAGTGTGCGAACAGGTGCTCTTTGGTACTTGCTTCGGCAACCAGGTCTTGCTCTTTGCGGGATCTCACAAACCGTTCAACTTCGTCGTCGGGATCATCACCTTCGTCGACGCCTGCGTCATGAACCGGTGCAGGCACTGGCTTGGATGCAGCTACTGCACTCAACGATGGCTCAGCTTCACAGCTAGAATCCATGTATGGCACATGACCGTCAACCTTGAGCTGGATCAGAGCACCATCAGGGCGAACCATGGTTAGCGCCTTCCCGCGGACTCCCAATAAAAGGAGTATCCTTGATCCAGGCGCTTCACACCCAACGACAGCACTGCGGGAGAGCTCTCAAGGATGTAAGGCTGAGCGGGCTCACACGATGCATCGACATTGATGTCGGCGATTTCGGAAGCAGTGATGTTTCCATTTGCAGTCACAAGGCGAATAGGCTGAGGAGCCTGTTTTCGGATCGCCTGGACGCGTTCCTCAGGGCAGCTTTGCTGATCAGGTCCTGCTCACGACCGGAATCAATAAGCCACACGTCCTTTCCTTTTGGGGCAGGGGTGGCAGCCCTTGGCGCTTCGACATCCTTGCGGACATCGTGAGGCGGCATGGCAATTCTCAGGCACTCATCACACGATAGGCTTGAGATGGAATCAGATTCCACATCGCACATGAAACCACAAGCAGGCTCCATTCTCAATGGCTTTGATCACGGCATTCAACTGGTTCGCGGCCTTGCGTGCTGCCTTGTTCGTGCCTTTGGTCGGCCTGGGGCAGTCCTTTGCATATGGAAACATCCTATTGTACTGCCGTTCCTCACACTCGAGCTTGAAACCATCGCCTTCGGTGGGGATCTCATGCACATGAGCATTGGTGTCAAATGACACTCCTATCGGATTGATCGGCTTTGCGAACATGGCGTACCTGGTGCAGACTGCAGCGGCTTTGGCCTTGGGCTTAGGCTTAGGTGAGTTTGCACGCTTCTTAGCCGCAGGATTGGCATTGGCCTCGTTGCTCGATGCCGCAGCGGCTGATTTGCCGCCCGTGGAGGCATGGCTAAACTTGCATTTGTCACATTTAGTGCACTTCCCTTGGGCAAAGAAAGAGCACGGTGCTTTGTCTCCCTTATTGCCTTTGGGGGAATTCGGTCTGCCACGGGTCGCAGAGCGTCCTCGCGGCTCCTTGCGGTGCGCGTACGGGCAATTTGCCCCCCTCGTGCACGAGCCCTTCTGGAAGTCAAAGCAGTACTTTTCCTTGGTGTCCTTCGGCTTAGGCGCGCTCCTTCTTTTCAGGAGCAGCGGCGCCGGCCTTAGGCGTCGGGGGGGCACGCGCTCTCGGTTCTCGCGAAGCCTGTCAGATCCCTCATGCAACGCATCAGGAAATCGTACGATTTGTTGGGATCATCATCACGGCAACGATCATATGTGTCAATGTCGTACCGCAACAGATGGCAGCTCCTCACTTGGCGAAGCAAGATGTCTTTCAACACCTTTTCTTCGGGCGGCCTTTTCATGCCGGCGATCACGGAGTCCCAAGCGTTTAGGAACCGCTTGAGATCAATGATTCCTTCGCCGTGTCGCGAGACACGCAGAGGTTTCCGGCTTCTTCACTGGTCTTGAAATATTGGTCAAACATAAACAAGACCTGCCTTCCTCTCATTGCCTTACCCTCCTTGACACATTCTTCCTTTGCCGTTAGAATTCGCTGAGCCAGAACACCTTTCGCTGAGCGCGTGAGCGCTGCGAGAATCTTCGTGTCAAGAGTCACGAATTTTCCCGGTTCACCGAGCTCTTCCAACAGCTTCTTCTTATCCTCGCAATCAGACCAAACTTCCATGATCCAAGGCCAGGCCTCGTCTGGTCGGTCGGATGCAGCGCGGACGTCCTCACGAACCGATGTCTTCCATTCACGGTACGTTTCAGGAGTTGGCATCTCCTTGAATCGCAACGTCTCGCTTTCGCGAGTTCTGGGCTTCTCGTCGTTCGTGTGGCCTTTCACCAACTTCATTAACATCTTGGCGAAAGCTTCTTGGCCGAGGTTGGGCCCCAGGCCGTCACCATCGTCTTCATCGCCTTCGCCATCGCCATTCCCATCATCATCGGGTGGCGGACCGCCACGGGGCTTGCCTCCCTGCTTGCGGTCGGTTGGCATTGGCCCCTGGGAGAATTGCAGGGGCGGAACCGGTGCACTTGTTTTGATCGGGGACCGACCAAAACCTGATGGCTTTTCAGCAGGTCCCTGCGGATCGCGAGCATCTGCAAACAGTGCTTCACTTTCGGCAGTTGGCATTATGCTGGGGGTATAATCAACCTCATAACCGTCATGGGCAACAAGCGACCTCAACTTTTCCTTTGCATATTGAAATGGATTGGACAACTTTTGTTTGGTGGGCCATCATGTCAATCGTCCTGGCGTTCTTCGCTTCAACACGGGCTGTGTCATCAGCGTGCTTAGCGGCTTGCTCCTGAAGGAGCTGCTGGGCATCCGCCAGGGTGGATTCAATGGCCTGCCTAAACTCAGTTGTTTTGCGTCTCATTTCCACTTCATGCGATGCTTGGGCGTTTTCTTCACACACTTGGCTTATCCTAGCTTCAGCGAAGTTCACTTCTTGGACGAACTCATCGCTCACTCGCTGTTCGTATTCACGAATTCTATGCGACTGGGCTTGCACACACACTCAGCGTAGTGTGCATGCAGCTGATTCTGTGCGACACGGAGCTCCTCCCGGTTTTCCGCTTGCAAATGCGTAACAGCTGCTTGATGCAGGGCTTCGGCTTCAGACCTAATGGCTAAGTCATTCCCAAAAGCAAAGATTGCGGCATTGTATAGTTGAAGGGAATTCATTAGGGTGCGGTTATACTGCGCATTGCTTGGCGCGAACATTCGCGCACCGCCGCCGGTGGCGTTGTCGGAGCTAGCTCCGACGGCATCCACAGGCATGTTGGATCCATCAACTGGCACAAGGGAACCGTCCATTGCTTAGAGCTAGGGGCCTACGGATGATAACCTATAGATTCGAGGGTTACCGGTTTGGGGCCCAAAAGGAAACAACAAACCGTCCAAGTGCGCTGCTCGCACATTTTCACGCTTGAACAGCCACACTGCGGATGCAATAGATGTTAAACCCACAAACTGACCGATTGAATTCTTCAGCTTGAAAAAGCTCTTGACCCATGCTGGCTTCCCCGGTCTCCAGGGGGCAAGTGTCAGACGTGCCTGTTTGTCCTTCATGCTGGATCCATGCGGGCTCGTGCTCGGCTGTGCACTCTGTTCCTCTGGCTCCTTCGATCGTCGCAAAAGCTTCAGCATCGCTTGTTCCCAGGTCTGGCCTCGATTGGACGCGCGCATGCGCTTTCAATTCACAAGGCATGCCAAAAGGAGCTGATAGCCATGAGCCAGTTACGAGCCGGTTCTGAGCCATTTTTATGCCCATAGCCAATTCCAAGTTGCTCTTGCTCCCTCCGCCGCCGTGGCGGCGGGGCAGGTGGGGCAGGTGCGTTCCAGGCTGCGGTCTTCGCAGCCTGGCGAGTCGCTTGGCCAGATGCATTCTGGTTTTGCCAACGCTTGCAGCCGAGGCACCAGCATGTTTGGCCATCTGCGCCTGGCCTAAAAGCTGAGCCAGGAATGTGCCCAATCACAGCCTGACTTCCGAGCATGCGCATGCCTGCAAAAGCCGTCCGGCTGGGCCTGATCTGCCCATTTTACTCACAGATTCGCTTTGAACGTGCAGCTTCGCCAGGCTGCAAGGACTTTGTCAAGGCTGACCAGCTTTGCTCGCTGCTGAGCTTTCAAACGACCTCTGTCCGGCCTCAAGCACCGGCCCCAACAGGTAATGGGAACAACGGACTTGGCACTCTGGGCCCGTTCAGCATGATATAGCGTGATGATGTGTGATGTGTGTTTTGCGTGCTGCTTGCAGGCGAGTGGGTACATATTAGCTGCGTGATTGGCAGTCTTAGCTCAAAATCCCCGTTCCAGAGTCCAACTTTGTTGGAAACCAAACTCACTCGTCAGCGTCGTCATCGTCATCGAAGGTCTGCACACACAGAGAGGACCCTATAACAAAGCGAGGGAAGAACTCATGGCCTTACTCTTGCCTTTGGGCCCGCTTTTAAACTTTCCTGCACAGTCTATGACAGGCACACCGGCATCCTTGCCATGCGTGCAGCTGCGCGCAGCTTGAAAACCGCTGCCTTTACCATCTTTCCCTTTCTTGCCTTTACCCTTACCATCCTTACCTGGCACCAGCCGCCATTGACTTGAAAAATGCTTGAAAGCTGGCTGCACTAGCATCTCGAGGCTCAAACAGCTCTCAGAAGGCCCACCTTTTCCTTTCCCCTTATCTTTTCCCTTCCCCTTGCCCTTGTCTTTTCCTTTCTTGCCTGGCACGGCAACTTCGGCATTCCGCTGTGCATCCCACTGATCTGAGTCGGCCTCCATCTTTTCCTTTTCCCTTGCCTTTGTCGCCCTTGTTGGTGGCGATGTTCACCTGCCAGTTCCCCCACATGTGCAATTCCTGGCGGGTGACGGCTTGTGGCCTTGATGTTGTTGCCGCCGTAGTCGTCGCCATCGAACTCCAAGGCCTTCTGGGCGGCGGCCTGGGTCTTGAAGGTGATGAAGGCCACCTTTGCCGGCATTGCCAGGTCCTGAAACGCACTTCTTGATACATCTTGATACGGATACATACGGATACATACGGATACACACGGATACATACAAAGGTAGAGACTCCCCCGACCTGCCTCGATCTCGCCGCACTCTTCGAAGTCTTTGCGGAGCTGCTTTTCTGTAACGCTCCAGGGGATGCCACCAACAAAGACCTTCGTGTCTCCTCCTGAGCATGCCCAACCATTCCCAAAATTGCAGCCATGGCAATTGCAGTAACCATCACTGTAGCTAGCAATGTCAGCAACAAACGCACTCCTTCTCCCTCCAGGTCAATTCTCCTCTTCTTCAAGGGTACCTCCTCCTCCTCCTCTTCCTCCTCGTCATCCTCGTCATCTTCCTCTCCCTTCTTCGGGGCAGCTTTGGCTTTCGGCTGCTTTGCTTTGGGCTTGGTCTCTTCCTCCTCGTCCTCCTCGTCCTCCTCGTCATCGTCGTCATCTTCATCGTCGTCGTCATCTGCTGCAGTCTTGGCCTTGGCGGCTGCCTTTGTATTGCCCTTCTTTGGTACTGGCTCGTCATCACTATCGTCCTCGGCAGCTGCTTTGGCTTTTGCCTTTGGGGCCTTTGCCTTTGGCTTTGGCGGCGACTCATCCTCATCCTCATCGTCGTCGTCGTCCGCAACAGGGGCCGCCTTGGCTGGCTTCGCCTTTGCTTTTGGAAGCGGCATCTCGTCCTCACTCGACTCTTCATCTTCCTCCTCTGGCTTGACGGCCTTCTTCTTGCCTGCGACTTCCTGCTTGGCTTCAGCCTTGCCTTTCTTTGCCGCTTTCCCCTTCACCTTCTTCATGGCTTTCTTGCCCATTCTGTATGACTTGCAATCAGCAGCAAACAAGGTTGAGCCCCTACAGCATACGTCCAACACACACGCTGACACTTACGTGCAAGCAACCCAACCTCTTCTCAAAAGCTCAACCACCCGGCAGCTCAAGTCAGCAAGCTCTGCTCCTTTTCGCAAGGCCAGGGCTTCATCAGCTTGGCTGAAGCATGCCCTGCCCCATCAACGATAACGCAAACAAAAATGTTTGATTCCCACAAAAGCACGCTACATGCACATGAATGCGAAATGCCTCTCAATCAATACAAGCAAATTCCCCCATGCTACGCGAATCCGCTAGCATCCCGTGTGTGGCCCCCGACCCTCGCCAACTGCGCGCCAACCCATCTCCAGCTGCACAAGGTTCTCGAATGCCTGTGGGCTCGGGGCTTGACTGCAGGTATCGCTAAATGCTGAAGGTGGCAGGGAAAAGCTCAGAATGTGACGCTCGTTGAAGCACACACAAACAAAACTATCAAGCAACTTGGGTTGTGCAAAAGATGCTGTTTCCCCTGAAGTCTGGTATGTCTGGCGAAAAGCATTTGGAAAACAGTGTGCCAGTATCCTGGGCGTATGCAGCAAAGCTGCGCAGTTCAAGTGTTGGTCGGGTCTCACTCATCGGCTCCCCAGCCTGGCTTCCCACGCTGCAATCAACCATCGTCTCTGCAACCTCCTGGAGAAATTCCACGCTCGCATCCTGGCCAGCTCATTTTGTGGCCCACCATGGCCCGCAGCTATCCGTAGCTCGTGGTGTGCCTGCGCATTCTGCCCCGTCCTTGAGCCTTGGGGTCAAGGAATGCAAAAGCTCATCTGCGATTTGAAGCAGGTCCTGCCAGAGGGCTCACCGCAGCAAAACCCGGTGTCTGCCGGCCAGCCTTTCTGGAAGCAGCTGTGAAGCCGTGCTCCTGAGCCAGCCTCGTGACCGTGCCTTGCCACAGGCGGGGTGCAACTCTCCCACTGGCATATTTGAATGAGCCGCTGGCGCAGCATGCAAAGAACCTCTGGTGGATGGGCACTGTGAGCTTCGCCCAACATGCGCCACGCAATGGGCATGCACTGGTCCTGGGAGAACGGCCGCAATCGACCTGTGGAGTTGCCAGGCTTCGCACCAACTGCCTAAATACATCCAAATACTCAAGTCACAACACGAATTTACAACATGCCGGCATCATGGCGCAATGAAAGCTCAAGCACTTCCATGTCCAGCGCTTCAGCGCTCAAAGCTTGACACACAGCAAGCATCCAAGCAGGCAAAAAAACGGAAAAGGTGGGACATAAACAACCGGACAATTAGCAGCTTGCAGTTCCAGCACCAAAGAGCAACCTTGTCAACTTCAACTTCAGATTCACCCCCTCCTAGCCTTTCGGTTCAAGCCGGAAAGCTCGGAACAGGTATGCCACCTAATGCTCAAGAATCTCTCGCCGGCAGAAAACGACGATGCATCTTGAGGCTTGTCGGGCGAAGAGCGAAGACCACATCGCTCCTCAGCCGCCTCTGTCTTGCAAAGCTCCTCAGATCTGGCCAACAACTCCTGTCAGATCGGACGGCGCGCGTATGCTCGTTATCCCATCGTCGCATCGTCCCATCTCGCGCGGGGGCGCTGCGCCTTGCCTTGGGAGTGTTGTAGCTTCGAGGGACTTCGTAGAACGGTCTGGGTGCCACAGGTCCTGCACGCGGCTTCAAGATGGAAGGCTTCACAGCTTCACGACTGGCCTTCTCTGGGGAGGGCCGCCTCAAAACCCATCTCCAGCACATTGGCATCAAGTGAGCATGCTCGGCTCCGGGCATCAAAGCACTGCTCGTCCTCCATAACCTCTTGCACCACCTCCTGCAGCGGCTCATCCCTGGCCTGAGCACTCTAGCAAGCCACCGGTTGCCAAGCTAGGCCGCTAGCCGTGGCCTCCTCGGCCACCTGATGCACGGCCATCAGCCATGGCCTGCACAGCTCAACCCAAATCCCCAAATCATTCGGAGGACGACACAAAGGATACAACACCCGCCTTCGGAATCCCTTGCTGATCTTGTTGCCCACCGCAAGGCGTAAGCGCAGGTCCAGCGGCAGCCTGGCAAAGCCAAGGCCTTTGAAGCCGGGATCTGCCAAAGTCTTGGAGGCTCTGAGAGGGTCCCTCTCTGCCCTCTCTCTCTGACTCTTTCCAACTGCCAGCCTCAAAGCGTCCACGTCGACCGGTGGCACTGGAATCATGGGCTGGCCTGCAAGACCGAGGCAGCATGACAATGGCAACAAGGCCTGCCTCTAGCGCCAGTCAGCGGGGAAGTGCCACGGGAAATAGATGCAAGGCGTGCCTGTCAAGCTACGCGCAGTGACTTCCACAACGCAGTGGCTGTTGCATGCTTTTAGAACGTGCCTCGTCGTGGTCGATGAGGCCTCTCTGGAGCTCCTGGATCCGCACATGGCGCGATGCCGAGGCTTCCTTCTGATCATTGACAAAGCGCGCAGAGGGCGTGGAGCCTGCGAGCGATAGCGACGGCGTTGGCGATGGCGTGCGGACGCGCCTCGTGTCTTTGCCGTAGGCCGCGAGCTCACGCTGCGGGGCCGAGGGCCAGCGGGTGGCCCCGGCTTTGGCCCCTCGCTGGGCTCGCTGGGCTCGCTGGGCTCTAAGAGCCCACACACGAGTGCTGCCGCCCGATTACGCAGGTGCAGCTCCAGGTGCTCACGGGAAAATGCCCGGGAATCCTCGGCCCGGCGGGCCACGGCCCTGGCGGCGGCCGCGATCTGTCCCGCAGGCCCCGAAGTCCTTTGCGGCTTTGGGCCCTGGACAGCGAAGCACAGCTTCCGAGTGCGTGAGATTCTCCGAGCCTGCGGCACCAAAGCCCGGCTGCGGTAAGCGCCTCAGATTGCAAAGAAAGGGGTGTACATAAGTGCCATTGACCGACAGGATCTGCTGTAAACTTCCTTTTGGCCGCTTGGAAACTACAGTGTGGCTTGATGAGACAAGATCTGTGGCTGCAGCTGCCCCGGATGTGGCCCTGCAAAGTGGGCGTGGTCCACTCACAGCCCCTGCTGCGAACGATTGCGAACGCGCCTGTCTTTTCTCTTGCATGGCCATCCCATGCGCAAGAACATTCCACGTTTGTGAATACAGTCAAACCGCTGTTATTGATGCGGGGATACTGGATACGTGCGAATTATCATCAATATACATGAGTGCGCTCTTGACGATTGCATATTGCATGGCTTGTGGCGGATGTGATGTTTCATGTGACTTGCCCTGCAGCATGCATGATCCATGGAGCCCCTCTTGCGCAGTCCAACGATCGAGAAGTTCCCACCTACGTGGTCCTTGCTTGCTTGCCCCCTACCGTGAGGAGCCAGTCTCGGCGGAGACTGGAAAATGCCTGCATTTTAGGGAAACGCTCTGCGAAAGGAAGGTCAGTCTTCGACGCGGCCATTGGACCAAGCTGCCTTATTCACCCTCTGTTGCCTGCAGTTACCCATTCAGAGCTCACAAAGACGTGGCAGGGCATCTTGCCCCACCAAACCTGGCCCTACAAATCCTCAACGGTTACAGGGCCTGCAGCTGGTGTCACCGGCTTCTCGAAGGGGGTGCAATGATGTTCCTCACCATCCTCCATCTGTTGTTGGGGGGCGGCAGCAAGCATCCCCTGGCTCACCTGCGACTTCAGATCTTGAATTGCCGAGGGGCAGTGTGGAACAATAATAGAGCCATGACTTGAGGAGAACTCTTTCAAAGTATCCAAGTACTGCGTGGTAATCATCATATGCATGGCTTGCTTCGTGGACAGGCCGCTTTCCTTCATCAGCGCAACCGAGTCTTGATACCCTTGTGCCATTGCCGCACGCATGTTAGCCATGCCAACGCCTGCAAGACGTTTACCCTCGGCGTCAGCTTCAGATGCTTTGATCTTGAGCATCTTATCTGCTTCTCCCTGCTCGAAGGCAACTTCCCTCCGCCTCCTTGACGCATTGATGTCATTCATGGCTTGCTTCACTTTCTCCTCTGGCTGCACGTCACGGATCAAGACACTAAGAACTTCGTAGCCGTATTGTCCCATCGCACGCCGCAATGAGTTCAAAATGTCGGTGACCAACGCCTCTTTTGCCTCATGAAGCTCATCGAGAGTCAGCATGGGAACAGTGGAGCGCAACATGCTTTCCACCTCTGCAGTGGCCTGAGCCCTTGGATTCTTGACCTCGAAAACGGCCGTCTTGACCATCTCCCTCAAGATGCGGTGCTGCACTGCTGTAATCACAGTGACTGTAACATTGTCCTTGGTTTTGCACACTGATTTGCACGCGAACTGATTTACGGCCAGTGAGACTGCCTTGCTAGTCGTGCAAGGCCAACAAATGAAAGCACATCCAGGCTGCTGCACGCCTTGGTACTCACCAAACCTCTGGACCACTCCAACAGAGCCAGTCTCGACGCATGAGCAGCAACAGGGCATGGAGAGGCAACTAATTTGAGCCCTCAGGCGGCAAACTTAAACATGACATCCTGTCGGAAAGGGAACATCGGGCAAAAGCTGCAGATCCGGCACCTCAACATGCGATGACCTGTCGTTGGGAATGGTTCTTGTCAGCGATAAGCTGCCAACTCGCCGTGACGTCAGGCGTAGTGAGGATGAGTATGGCTTTTGAAAAGGAGAGCAAGAAAAAGCCACGCCGCATTCTCTGTGTTCAAAGCGCGGTGATGTTCTGAGGATCTAAAGGCCATGCATTTGCAGGGCAGGAAAAACTCATCGCGAACGCTGGCAGCAGCAGCGCGAATCACGCTGCAATGCAAGGCATCATGAAGGGGGGTGGCCCGCAGCACTTGTTCCTGTCCGCAGCATTTGACTTGATCACACACACCGTGGCGGTTGCTGGAGCCCAATACCACGCACAATTTGCAGCTTGTGCGAGCCCTGCCTTAGTCTTTGCCGAACACGCTCCAATCAAGGTCCCATACCTCGTCTTCTTCGCCGTTCTCAGGTTCTTCACCTCGCAGCACGCCCCTGCACGCAGGGCCTCTTGTTCAGCCCATCCAGCCTGCGCAAGCGCTGGCGGCCTCGTGCTTCTGCGCGTCCGCCCCATCGTCGAGAGAACGCCTCCACACTTCCAGCATTGCAATCCGCCGGGAATGGTGCCAGGCATGGTGCCAGGCATGAGGCCACTGCTCCATATAGCCCTCAGTGCGGCTTTGGCCGCCTTTGAGCAAAGCCTGTCAAGCTGCCACAGGAAGCGCATCCCTGTCAGAAGCCATGCCTGCTGCAGCAAGCCGAGGCTTCGCCGCTGCATCTGCAGCCGCTCCTCCTCCTCTTTCAACCTTGAAGCAGAGAAAAACAAAGACCTTGAAAGATAGAAAGATGACAGAACAATGCTTCACTTGCCATGTCAAAGGCGCCAGCGTGGAAGCCAAGCGTATCTGCCTAGTGGATGTTTCGGTGGACGTGCATGCGTATCAACGAAACTCTGGCTCCTTCCACCTCTCATTCACTGCTTCACTGCACCCTTGACCCACTCTCTTAGCAGTGTACATTGACTCAGTCTCTAAAAGTTGCAGTTCTCGCTCCTCTGCGACTCGCCTCGGTCGAGAATCAGCAAAATGCAAATCACAGCACGTCTCCATGGGCAGCGGCTTCGCTGCTTGCTGTCTCTCTTCCAGCTCTTTGGCAGCGATGTCGACCTGCAAGATGCCAGTCGCTCAAAACGGCACTGCAATGCTTCCGCATGATTCGGCTTCCGGCTTCCTCCCGCAACTGTCGAAGCTCAGCACGCTCAGCCTGCGCTTGATGGCCCAGGCGTTGGCATTTGGCGATCCAAATCACCTCTAACATGCTCGGAGATGCAGCTTCAGTCTCAGGCTCACTCGGCCCGGCCACCTGGATGTCGCATTTGGCATACTCCAAGGCACTTACCCATTAACATCATTAATTACTCAATAGCTGGGTCAGCAGCGAAAGGAATTCGCACTGGTTGAGCCTCGCGAATAAAACCAACCAAAAAAGCGCAAGCGTGCCAAGGATGCCTGTACCCGTGAGCGAGTGAGTGCATGCACGCGGAAATTGGCAGGCCTGTGCGCTTGTGCACATGAGCATCTAGGTAGGCGGGCGGACAGTCGCGCTGCGCGCGTGCGTGCGGGCATGCAGGCATGCAGTCCAAGCAACGGATCTGCCACATGTGTCTTTGCAAGCGTCGCTCCCGTGCCAGTCTGGTCAGCGAGGTTCCTGAAGTGCCACTGGCCAATGCCCAAGGCCCCAACACGTTGAACCTCCACCTGTGGGCTTCAAGCCGGCTGGCATCGGCTAGCATAGATTCTCGCCATCTCCAAATATCTCCGCGGTATTATTGCGCCTCGGCCCTTTTCTTCTCCAGCTGTTCTTCAGCAAGCCGTAGGGCCTCCTGCAATTCGGGGCAGGCGGGACGCCAGACTGTGCCACCTCACTTCGACTCGGACCGGCTGTTGGCAAGTTTGGTGCGTCCTCCCGTTCTTGCAATTCTTCTGCGCGCTTGGACTGGGCCTTGATGGGTCTTGAGCACCGAGGCGAGCCAAGGTGTGCCCATGAGCTGTCAGTGCCTCCGCCAGGGATTTGAGGCGGGCTTCTTCCAGCTCCAACCTGGAGAGAGCCAGGCTCAAGCGCGTCAGCCCAAGTGCCAGGCGCACTTCGAGAGTGTCTCTGCCGGGTCTGGCCTGCAATGCACATTCGTCTCTCTACATTCTCCGCATCCCCGCCCACCTTGCTTGGCCATCTTGGAACCCCTGCACCATCCTGGGAAGTGGGATAGTGTCCGATGTGCCGGGCCTGGACTGCCTGCGCGCATTCGCAGCCGAACCGAGTCAGATTCCAACGTGCAGCTGCCTTTCCAGGTCGGCCCTGGGTCTCTCCTGACACGCTCTCAGAAAGCCAAACATATGGATCATCTAGATCTGCATTCTGCATAGCTTAGTCCAGTCGAGCGCCTGCTCGGGTGGGCTCAGCCCGTCGATCTGCGTGCAAGGTCGCACCGGTTGCACAGGCCATCACACGCGGACCAGCCGAACCAGGATCCAAACTTCCAAAAGCTCGGCATCGCCGCAATGCCCGGGGATGCCCCCGCATGCCCCCGGATGCCCCCGGATGCCCCCGAATGCCCCCGGCCAGCTCCAAAAGATCTTGAAGGCTCATGGCATCCAGGACCTGCATACCCAATCATACCCATCCCGCACCCGCGACCCGCACTTGGACGAATCCGCCATGCCTCTGGTGCGAAAGGCTCGCCACGCGCGCCCAGCCTTGCCAAAGATTGCCAAAGATTGCCAAAGAAACCAAGGGGCTAAGCCTCAAGCACACTGGGTGCCCCACATTTGGCGAGCCACAGTCTTCAATTCCTGGCTTGTGCAAGGCTGCCAGTTAGATCCAGCAACTCCAACCCCGTCCTCGCGATCCACAGAGTCGGACGAGCTGGGCCGCCCCCAAGCCGCAGGGTTCTCCTGGCCCTGCGCCAAACGGCGCACGTCCGGCTTCCAAGTGGCCCCAAGAGGCCCCAAGTGGCCCCAAGTGGCCCCAAGTGCCTCAGGTACCCCTGCGCACGCAGACTCTTCCTGCAACGCGCGGCTCTTGCCACAGTTTAAAGGTGGAGCACGCCTCATCCTGGCGAACCCGAACCGGAGCCGGCTCTTGGGCCGGCTCTGGGGCTCCGGCCTCCCATGGAACGAGATAGGGAAGAGTCCAGTGAGACAAGCAAACTTCAACTATCAATTTGTAAGCCCAAGCCTGCCCTTCGGCATACCTGAGCTGTCAGACGCTGTTGCGCCCTCAGCCAGGAAATGCACCCTTGCCATCCAAGGATGTTGCAACGGGTCGAGATTCTGCGCACGGATAGACTTCACAGACCCATCGTCCCTCAGCAAACCGCTCCGCCGCATGGGGAAGAGTTAATAGCTGCACGAGGCAGCAGCAAAGTGACGATCCAACGCTGCGAGGCCTCATCCTTAGTCCACTGGCTGCGGAAAGTAATAGATCTGGAGATCTTCAGGCGGGCTGCCCACTTGCGAAGGATGACTGCGGAGCCATTCAGGCTTGGAGCCTGAAGGGAATGAAGGATCCAGCAAACAGAACATCGAGTCTAGAGCCCAGCTGTCCGCAGCCCGCTGACCTAGGACTCGCACTTGAAGCGGGCAACAGGAAAAAGGCAAGCTGCACATCATGAGACTGAGACTGAGGATCGTGCTCGGGCACGGCCACCCACAACCAAGGCACCCGGGCTGCGGGCTTCTTGCGCAGCGACCTCGCAAATGCCCGCGCTGCCCGGATCCCAACATGGCCAGCAAGCCCCCTCGACGCCAAGCAAGCACCCTTCACCGCACGGCGGGTTTTTCACACGTCTGGCTTGCAGGCGACGAACTCCGAGCCTGGCAATGGAAGAAGTGAACTAAGGTCTAGCAACTTGCCCATGCATGATACGTGCCAGCATCTTGCCTACTCTCCTCCGGGGCCACTTCCTGAAAGATAATACTATTACACGACTGGTGGCTGCAACATCTGAGGGCACAACTTGGATTCGAAGTATCTTCGGTAGGCCTGCGCGCAAAGCATGGTGATGGCCGTGCACTCACCAACAAACGGCCTGAAGCAGCCATTCCCGAGCATCAGCAATGCCTGATCTTCCGTACATGGCAAACTCAAACAAAAAGTCGGACGAATCGCATCGCACCGCATGCCGAGCGCATGCCGACATGCCGACATGCCGAGTGACATCATGACGTGAGAGCGCCTTGCGCCCCAAGGAGTTCTGCACAAAGCTGCGGGCCTCGGATCGAAGAGATTCGAAGAGATTCGAAGAAGGAAGAGATGAAGAGATGAGGAGATGAGGAGTGATGAGAAGGGCCGACTTCCCGAAGAGCTGTGGGCAAGCCCCGCTCGGGGCCGCGGCGCTGCAGCAACTCCCGCGCCCACAGCCCGAAGCGCGACTCCGCGCCGAAGAGCCAGGCGCACGCTTCCGCGTGCTCCCGGCAAGCATCCTAGGTTATTGATACATACATATTTTATGTATAATATATATATATATATAGTGAAGCATGACATCCATACATTCAATGATCCATATAATGCATAACGATCATCGTGAATCATATCCGATCATATCTAATGCCCATGCACATGGCAATTGCAAGCTCTCTTGGCATCAGGTCCTCTTGCAGCTCCGTCGGTGCAAAAAGGCTCTGGAGCAGAAGCAGCATCTGCTCAGCTGGCGAGTGGGCATTGTGCAGCGTCCTCACCTGAGCGAGCCCATCCTGCTACGTCCTACTTCTGAGTAGAAGCTGCATGTGGCTAAGCTAAGTTTCAGGCTCTTGCTAAAAGCTGGTGCAGGAGAGTCATGTACTCGTTCCGCTCAGCATGAAGCAGCCCCGGAGGCGAGCTGCAGCCTTGGCAGGTCTTGAAGTCCGGCGTGGCCGTTGACCGGTTGGGTTCTGAGATTCTGAAGGTATTCGCCCTTGGGCCGTGGCCCATGAGCAAAGGCTCCAGTGACAGCTCAGGGCTCTCCGACTCGAGAAACACCCAACCAGGCGAATGCTACGCATTGCTACGCTCACAATCGGAGAGGCTCAGAGGCGCTGTTCACACCAATTTTCCGGACGTGCCTCAGACTCCAGCGAGCAGCGGTGGCATGCGCAGTGGAAGCCCCAACCGTCCTGGAGCTCCTGCATAACTTCGTGACGCATCTGGCTGCGCACATCGCATGGCTGCGCAAAGCGCCTGCTGCCGGTCTTGCACTGGCTTCAGCAAGCCCGCCACATCCAGGTACGAGGTTGTGATTGGGCCTTGTGGCTCAGTTTGGGTGTCTGCTCTGGCCCTGCGAATGGGCGCCGCATGTGGAGGGGTCGAAGGGCAAAAACGCAAGCCACGCATGAGCCACAACAAACAAACAAACAAACAAACAAACAAACAAACAAACTAACAAGCAAACAAACAAACAAACAAACAAACAAACACACACACAAACAAACAAGCAAGCAAGCAAGCAAGCAAACAAGCAAGCAAGCAAACAAGCAAGCAAGCAAGCAAGCAAAGAAAGAAAGAAAGAAAGAAATCATGCAACACCCTCACAGACTCACACACAAAACCGACACTTTTGCCCCAATTGCAGCAAAGTTGGAAGCAAATTGGAGGCAAAGCCGAAGCACTTCGATCGCTCTGCCCGGGCTACATCCTGTCTGATATCTTGGTCGAAGCGATACGCCGAAACTGGCTGAGGCGTCGACAGCCTGCCGCCACGGGTCGCATCATCACGAGCCACAGGTCGTCGCCATCCTAGCCGCCAGGCGATTTGGATTTCCGACTGCACTCAGCATTCAAAAAAGTGATTCGTGCCACTTCACTTATGAACAATCATTGCACATTGAGGCGCTCACATGGACCAGCGAGCAGTTCGGATCACAGGAATGCTCGCACAAGGCCATGTGTAGCCATAGCCCGCAGACCTTCAGAGCGAAAGAAAACGGTTTGCCGCAACCTCAGGAGACGGGTGCTGGGCCATGTCATGACTTAGGGCTGGCATCTCGCCCTCCGGGGTGACGACCTGCGCTGAAGCTTCCCACTGCCCCGTTGCGTGTGCGTCCCCAGCCTTCCGCCCAACCGGGCAGGAGACCGTAAGCTGACGCCAGTTTGGGATAACATGCGCCCAGGCCTCTCCATGCGAGCGTTAACCAACCACATCAGGGCCTGAATCGTTCTCAAGCCTAGCCTGCTCCAGTTCCGACACGGCAACCAGGTCCGTAAGGGACGAACTGCAAAGACAGAAGGGTTGAGCCCAGGAAAGGACGCCACAGGACTGACATGGCCTCCAGCGTTTGTGCCAGCGTCTGATGAGCGGCACTTTGGGCGGTTCGCCTGGGAACCTCCAGTGACTTCACCGGTGACATCCGGATATGTTCAGTCTCAGGGCTGAGCGCGTGCAAGTCGTGAAGAACAGACTCGCCTTTGCAACAATGGCTCAAGAGGTGTCCCACCGACGCAAACGATTCTGTGATACCCCTGCCTGTCGAGACGTGCAAATCCAGCAGCAAAGACGCCAAAAAGTCAAGAGCTGCCAACATCTCAGTCGAGGCAACGTCTTCACCTGATGCTGCACTGCCATGCAAGGCAGTGCAAAAGCCGCATCACACCGTCCCGAACAGCCTTACCTTTCGCCCAATGGAACGCACTCGGGCTTACTTCCGGGTCTTCCAGGGACCTTCATCATTGAATGGGCCCAGCGCACGGCGGTTGTCTATCCGGCCGACTTTTGCTAAGCCTGGGGCACGAAGACACCCTTGCCAAATGCCTGACATGCAGCTGAAAGATGCTGAATGCCGACCATGCCGAGGGCTGAGGGTCGCGATCCCCCGATGCCTGCCCAAGCTTGAGCCATGTGGCACAACGGCCGCGTCCCTCAGCCTGGCGTGTGAAGCCGAGCGAAAAGAGGCGAGGCGCAAAGACTCCGGCCTATGCCCCGCAGGAAGGTCAGTCACCTCAAGGGATTTCTCCGATGTCTCTTTCTGAGCTTCGCTCAAACCTCACTGACCTCACTGACCTCACTGACCTCACTGACCTCACTGACCTGTACCTTGAAAAAAAGTGTCGAGGCCCATTCGAGGCCCAAGCTGCTTCTAAGCATCGCCCGCGGTCGGGCGTATCCACCAGGCGCAGTCTCAGCTGTGCTCGGCTCAGAGCTTCAATCCGCTCACGAGCTCAATCCGTTCAATCAATACATATCAATACTCTCGGGGCTTGAGCTCGAATCTCTGGGCTCGCCACTGGCCCGCAGAAGCGGCTTCCACTCGCTCTCGGAGTCCCAGTTGGCCGGCATGGCACATGCGAGAAGCTCGTTCAGTGCCGCATTCATGGATGCGTGGGTGAGCGCATGTGAGCGCTGAGGTCCATGTGCTGCATGAAACTTTGAACAAGTGCCACAAGCTCCGTGGGGCATTTTCAGTTGGCTTCCAGAAACTTGCGAGGAAACCGCAGAAGCAAGATTGCACGTGTCTAGGGCCGACCGGTAGTCCCTTCCATGGAAATGAAGGTTCCCTGAATAGTAATTATTTTCTCCAATAAGCCCCAAACATCCTGGCCCGGGAATACTGAATCTAGAATTAAGCCATACTAAAACCTCCCCCACCGTGCAGGGGGGAAGGGATTGATATATCCCAGTCCTCACCTCTGCGGCCAAGACTTCGTCGGCATTTCTTTGGTCCAAACTTGGCTCCGCTGAAATGCTCTCTTTTGCTCTCTTTTGCTCTCTTTTGCTCTCGTCTGCTCTTTCAGAACAGCTGCAATTGCTCCAGTTCGAGGCCGCGGCAGCCAAATCACCGCTGCCTCCAAGTCACCGCCGCTCGCACGCCTGGGCCGTCGAAATCGGAAGTGAGCACAGGTAAGCCAAGCGCCGGGCAGCCCGTGCCGGGCAGCGACAGCCTCAGTGACTCAGGTCGGCAATGGAGTGAACGTCCCGTTTGAATCACAGGATGAGACACAAAACTAAAGCAACACACAACCACAGCAAGACGTGAGCTGGAGAGCCAGAGGGACGCAAAGAATACTGATCAGCACCGGGATTTTTCAGAATGCGGCAGTGAAGCCAAGAGCCATCAGTTTCTCGACCTTGACGGCTGCGCGGATTCTTACGACCGGCCAACGACAATCCTGGCAATGCACCTTGGGATCCGCCCCATGTGCTCGCTCACTTGCCTGGCGCACCAATGCGCATGTGCCAAAAAAGCACCTGAATGCAAAGCTCAATAATCCCACCTGCCGGCCACTAGGTGATCCTGGGTGCGCCGCGCATCTCCCCATGTCCCACGGCACGAAATATCCGAGCAGCCAATGCTCAACCGGTGGGCTTTCTCCTTCACCTGGGCGGATCTAGAAACATCGGCAGCTCAAGTCCCCAGTCCAGCTGCGTGCCTTGCCAAACCTCGGAGCTCCAAAGCTGCACAAAGGCGTCGAGCCATGCTTCGGGCGCCATCGCGCCATCGACACTTGGGCCTCCTGCTGTGCGTGCGCCTGCTCTTTGGCCGCTCCTGGCATCGGAGGGAAAGCGAGGCAAGCGAAAGGCTTCGGAAAGAACTAAAACGATTTGGGGCCCGTCATAAGGTAAGCCAACGCAATCGCCACTGAATGGCGGCAGGCAGACTCAGCACCCGGGACATGCGGCCCATTGCGTTCTTGACATCTTCTGCCATGGCACGCTCGGGTGCCGCAAAGGTCAAGAGTCCGCAAAGGTCAAGAGTGTTCAAGTCGCGGGCCATGCGCAGGCTTCATTTGAAAGGATAGCCGGATCAAAATGATTTTTTATTTTTTGTTCACTCCGTTGGTGAGCAGCAGCTGTTCGGCCGATCGGCGACTGACTGAATGAGCCAAAAGCGCACATGTTCCGGTGCAGGCGCTCTGATGTGTGTGTGTGTGTGCCCGCCCGCCCGGCCCGGCCCGGCCCGGCCCCGGCCCCGCCCCGCCCCGCCCCGCCCCGCCCCGCCCCGCCCCGCCCCGCCCCGCGTGCGTGCGCCGCGTGCGTGCGCCGAGTGCGTGCGTGCGCCGCGTGCGTGCCCCGTGTGCGTGCGTGCGCCGCGTTCGTGCGTGCGTGCGCCGCGTGCATGCGTGCGTGCGCCGCGTGCGTGCGCCGCGTGCGTGCGCCGCAGGCGTGCGACGCGGGCGTGCGCCGCGGGCGTGCGCCGCGTGCGTGCGCGCGTGCTGGCATACGTGCGTGCGTGCGTGCGTGATGTGCGGACTTGTGTTTGTGTTTGTGTTTGTGTGTGGGTGTGTGTGTGCTCGTGTTTGTGTGCTTGTGTGGTTGTGCTTGTTTGTGTTTGTTTGTGCTTGTTTGTGTTTGTCTGAAATTGTTTGTGTTTGTGTTTGTTTGTGCTTGTTTATTTTTTCCCCGAAAGCATCGCGAAGGGTTCTTCCGTGCGGAGCCCTTGGACAAGTTACACAGAGCCAAGTTGCACAGAGCCAAGTTGCACAGAGCCAAGTTACATAGAGCCAAGCTACATAGAGCCAAGTTACATAGAGCCAAGTTACATAGAGCCAAGTTACATAGAGCCAAGTTACATAGAGCCAAGTTACATAGAGCCAAGTTACATAGAGCCAAGTTACATAGAGCCAAGTTACATAGAGCCAAGTTACATAGAGCCAAGTTACATAGAGCCAAGTTACATAGAGCCAAGTTACATAGAGCCAAGTTACATAGAGCCAAGTTACATAGAGCCAAGTTACATAGAGCCAAGTTACATAGAGCCAAGTTACATAGAGCCAAGAGCCAAGTTACATAGAGCCAAGTTACATAGAGCCAAGTTACATAGAGCCAAGTTACATAGAGCCAAGTTACATAGAGCCAAGTACATAGAGCCAAGTTACATAGAGCCAAGTTACATAGAGCCAAGTTACATAGAGCCAAGTTACATAGAGCCAAGTTACATAGAGCCAAGTTACATAGAGCCAAGTTACATAGAGCCAAGTGGCACAGAGCCAAGTGACACAGAGCCAGGTGGCACAGAGCCAAGGTTAGGTAGAGCTTGCGTAGAGCTTCGGCGTTAGCAGCTATGTAAGTTAGTTTAGGTTTCTAAGGCGCCGGGGCGGGAGTTTCATCGTCGCTCGGGATTGCGACCCTCTGCGGAGATTCGCGTGGTCGAGGACTTTTTACGATTTCTGCGCTGCGCGCGCGGCCCTCTGCGGAGATTCGCGTGGTCGAGGTTCAAAACTGGAGCTTTTTACGATTTTTAGCACGCGCGCGCGCGACCCTCTGCGGAGATTCGCGTGGTCGAGGTTCAAAAACTGCGCTTCTTACGATTTCTGCAAGCCGCGCGCGACCCTCTGCGGAGATTCGCGTGGTCGAAGTTCAAAAAGGACTTTTTGCGATTTCTGCAAGCCGCGCGCGACCCTCTGCGGAGATTCGCGTGGTCGAGGTTCAAAAAGGACTTTTTCGATTTCTGCAAGCCGCGCGAGACCCTCTGCGGAGATTCGCGTGGTCGAGGTTCAAAAACTGAGGACTTGTTACGATTTCTGCAAGCCGCGCGCGACCCTCTGCGAGGATCGTGCGTGTCGAAGCCCTCTCGCTGTGGCGCCGTGCGAATTTGTTGCTCGCGAAATGGCCTTTGGAAGTTGTCTCGTGGCTCGCGCGCCTGCTTTCGCAACCCCGCGGTCGCGGGTTCGATTCCCCGCTGGTCCGCGGCAGCTCCGGCTTGAAAATCGCAGCTTTTAAGTACAGACGTAGTACGCGGAGCGTGCTCCTGCAGCTCCGGCTGGAAAATCGCAACTTTTAAGTACAAAAGTAGTATGCGAAGTACATTCGCACAGCTCTGGCAGCACTTGCGCAGAGAAACTTGCGCAGAGTCACTTGCGCAGAGCAAGTTGCGCAGAGCAACTTGCACAAAACAATTGCACAAAGCACTTGCGCAGAGCAACTTGCACAGACCAACTTGCACAGAGCACATGCGCAAAGCGCTTGCACGGAGCAACTGGCGCAGAGCACTTGCGCAGAGCAACTTGCTCAGAGCACTTGCGCAGAGCAACTTGCACAGAGCACATGCGCAAAGCGCTTGCACGGAGCAACTGGCGCAGAGCAACTTGCACAGACCAACTTGCACAGAGCACATGCGCAAAGCGCTTGCGCGGAGCAACTGGCGCAGAGCACTTGCGCAGAGCAACTTGCTCAGAGCACTTGCGCAGAGCAACTTGCACAGAGCACTTGCGTGCAGCAGCGTGCAGCAGCTTGCAGAGAGCAACTTGCGCGCAGCAGCCTGGAACAATGCAGCTTGCGCAGACCACTTTCGTGAGAAATCGCGCGGCGCAGTTCGAGAGGAAAGTAAGGATGATGAGATGGAGCTCTCATGTGACCATACACACTGAGCATCGCCGCGCGCAGACACGCTCGCCGCAGCGATGTAAAAAGGTGTCTCCGCGGATGGATGAGCGCCTGTGGCAAAATGCTTTCGGGCCAATCGTCCTCTAGTTTTAATTTGTGTGTGTGTTTGTGTTTGTTTGTGCTTGTTTGTGTTTGTTTGTGTTTGTTTGTGTTTGGTTGTGTTTGATTGTGTTTGATTGTGTTTGGTTGTGTTTGGTTGTGTGTGTTTGTGTTTGTTTATGTGCTTGTGTGTTTGTGTTTGTGTTTGTCGGTCTGTGTCTGTCTGTGTCTGTCTGTCTCTCTGTCTCTCTGTCTCTCTGTCTCTGTCTCTCTGTCTGTCTCTGTCTCTGTCTCTGTCTCTGTCTCTGTCTGTCTCTCTCTCTCCGTCTGTCTGTCTGTCTGTCTGTCTGTCTGTCTGTCCGTCCGTCCGTCCGTCCGTCTGTCTGTCTGTCTGTCTGCACGTGCGCATGCGCGTGCGCGTGCGCGTGCGCGTGCGCGTGCAGAAGCAAGTCTGAGTCTTGCTTTGTTTTCGGCGAACGACCTGTCTTGAACCCACGCTAGGGCAGCTAGGCAGAGGTCTCAGATTTATCTGCACAGGGCACGCGACTCTTCAAGAGTGACAGGCCCAAGCTTTGAGACACATTGAAAGCCAACGATAGCCCGCGGCTTAGCCGTGGACCAGGCCTGCGACACCAAGCTCGAAAGTCATTGTGCTTCCGCAAGCATAGCGTCAGGCGTCAGGCAGCAAAATTTGCAAGCATAAATTATTCTATGCGGACGTGGACCGTGGACATGGACCAATCAGCGATAGCTGTACCTGCACTCTTGCCCTGCAACTGCCCTGCTCCGGGTCTCTAACATCATCAAGTCGGAGAGGGAAAGCTGCACATCACAGGACATGCGGTACTGAAGCAGTAGACTCAGGATGTCAACCTCAGCAGTTGCTTCCAGACTGAGTGGCACAGTCCACCTCTCTTCCGCGACTTCCTCTGCAATGGCGCTCAGGAAAGATGGCTGAAAGCGAAAGATCAAGTCTGCGGCCAGGAGGCCGGAGGCCTGTGGCGGTACAGTTGCCGGCTCTACGGCGCCCTGCCCAACCAAACTGCCGCCATGCCGGATCTTGATGCGGCCCGGCCCGCTCTTGGCACCCAAGAGGTTTGGGTTGAACAAGTCCACTTCCGCCTTCAAGGTCAGGAAGGTGGGCGCCATGTGCTGCGCTTCTGGCCCGGACACGGCGGTCGCCAGGGCCATGAGTTGTTCTGTGTCGACGTCCAGCGTGGTCAGCTTCCATGAAAGATCCCTGGGCCAAAAGAGGCCCAAACAAACAGCCACCGCAAGCATCAAGAGCCCACAAAGAGCGCCGGAACCTTTGCAGCATATCCTGCAGCACCGGTTGGCCCAACAGGCCTTGCACAGGGCACGGCATCTGCCCAGCCGACTTGGCTTGGGCTTCGGTGGCGGCTTTGAAGATTGCTTGGACTGCTTGGACGGCACTCTTGAGCGCCTCGTCGAGTGCGACACATAGCTGGACTGCTTGGATGCAAAATACACCACAGTCTCTCCGGCTCCCCTGAACCCTTCCTCCGTGAAGCCTCCGTCAGTCTGAGCTGGGTTGCACACAGGCTCACATTCGGCTTCAACTTCGTTGCACTCCGCTTCGTTGCACTGGGCTTCGTCAGGCTCCTGTTGGGCCCTGCGGGGCATATGCAACGAGGGCTCCCTGGCCACGTCATAATCTTCGTACACGGAGCGCTGTGGGGCCACGGCTGCGTCCACGGCGCCATCCATGGAATCCGCCCCTTCGGAATTGAACTCGAGGCGCACCTGCACACTTCGCACATTCTGAGAAGCCAGCCCAGCCATAAGCTGCCAGGCCTCCTGCAATGGCTCCTCGTCAAATGCCACAACACCCCGGATTTCACCTGAGTCACGCATCCTCTCAAATGCCTCTGCCATCCCAGTCTCAGGTCCCAGCCATCCTGGCTGCGTTGGCTGCGTTGGCTGCGTTGGCTGCGTTGGCTGCGGCTGTGAGTGCTCTTCGGGCTCTTCGCGCTCTTCGGGGTGCCGTGCTCGCTGTGGGCGCTCCGGTGGCTTTGGCCGTCAAGCCTCGGCCAAGCTCAAGACATCAAGACATCAAGACATCAAGACATCAAGACATCAAGACATCTCCAAATCTCAAGCTATCTCAAGATGCAAGATGCACGATGCACAAAGAAATGGAGTGCCTCAGGCCCCGGCGCATCTTCCGACTTGCTGGCCCGAGCACCCCACTCAGCCATGGTTGCAAAATGGCTCTCGGGCAAACGTTGGTTGCGATCCACGCAGTGCAGCACAACTGCCCAACTGCCCTCAAAGTTGTCGGAGTGTTCGGGCGCGGAATCTACAGTCCACGACTCGCAGGCCAGGCCTGTACGTGCGTCACATGCTGCACTCAACCAGACCGCGGCGATGCCAAAACTGTTTGGAACAAAGCAACTCAAAAGACCACGCAGTTGGTTCAAGCACCAGACTATAGGAAGTCTGACTTTTCCCTGGTGCCGAGATCGTCTGTCTGAAGCAAGGTGCTGGTGGAACTTGTAGAATCATTGTCAATCAACGGACAGGCAAACAGACAATGGTGAAGAGCATGGCGATCGCTCCTTTTGCTTCTCATGCTGGAAGCTCCACTGAGCACCTTTTGGCTCACCAAGCCTTCAGAGCCTCAGCACCACTGCACAGAATTTGCACGAGGTTGCATGCGCGCCTCCAACAGAACAGCAGACAAGCAGGCCACCAGCACCTCCAGCGAGGTTGGAGCGTGGACATCTCGTACGGAGCCCGTCCCATCAGGAGCTGGCCCCGGCGATGTCGATTACAGTGGATAGCAGGGGGCCGCTGACCTCGAGCTGCCATGGGCAAATGCCGCTCAGCCAGATCTTGAGCCGACTCCCTGCGTGCCTTGGCTGGATCGGCCTGGCGCCCGCACATTGCTACGAATGCTAAAGAGCTCGAGGCCATGTGGCACGAAGCGAGCACTGCGGCACGCCCATGCGCTGAAGCAAAAGCGGCGCACAGGCGCCAAAAACAACGGAGAAGCTCACCTCCGCCCAGCACTCTCTGCCCAGTACTCCGTTGCCCGGAACCGAGCACCGCACGGTGACTGCCATGGAAAGCGAGATGGCCACCGCGTCTGCCACAGGGCTTCCGAACCTTAAGCAGCGTGCACTGGGCTCGCTTCGGCCGCTGCCCAGGAGTGCGGGACAACAGGATCCGCAACGCCACGCCTTGGCGAGGTGCAAAGCAAGTGCAAAAAAAACGAGGTTCACAGACCACTCAGACCACTGACTCACAGACGTGCAGGATTCGAGCTGGCGTCGCCGCTAAGTGTGCAGCCCGCCGCAAGGACCAGCGCGATACCAAGGCCCACCTGCAGCTCCTCCATACTGCCAAGCTATGCCAAGCTAAGACTCCTTCAGAGAGTTCACCCGGACTCCTTCCAAAGAACGCGGCCAAGGTCGTCGAAACTTGGGACCTCAAGCGCGCAGGCCGTGACTCCTGAATCTCTATGGGATGATCCCTCTCCCTCTCTCCCCTCCTCTCCCCTCCTCTCCCCCTCCTCTCCCCTAAAAATAGTAGAAAGATTGCTTCTAAGGCGGGGAATTTTCAGTTTCAGGGCATTTTTTCAAGATTACATTTTACCATATCATCGCGCCTGTTCTGTTTTCCCATAAAGGTTAAAAGTATAGTTCTCATAAAATGTTAAAATGTTTTGTCTTGGGTAGGTTTTCTATAAGACTGTAAACATGGTGATTAATAATATCATAATTACATAATATTATCAATCTAATCACTGTTCTACTTCACTCTCTTTATTTAGGTTCTTCTTATGTTTATTTGTTTCTTTGTGTCTTGATTTCTGATGTGCCGAAAACTCAGTTTTACAAATAGGACATTCAACTTTTACCTTAAACCGTTCTCTTTGTTTTTCTAAAATAACATCTCTGTTATTGTCATAATATTCTTTATTTGCTTGTTTGATTTGTTCCTTCTTTCTTTCTCTGTAATGTTTGCCCTGTTCTTGTATTTTTCCTTTGTTTTGTTCTCGGTATTACTTTTATGTCCTCTTTGTTGTTTTCATAATATTCCTTTGCCTGTTGCCTTTCCTTTTCTCGGTTCTCTCTATGCTTCTCTCTACTTTTCTCACCACAACCATTACACAGTTTTTTATTATCAGTAAATTCTACATCAGGACTTGACTTTTTACACCAACTACATTTTCGCTCATTTTGTTCCTCCATAATATTTATACCCATTATCCCTTTAAATGTTCTTGGGGAAATCAATATAACTTTTTTTTACATTTTTTTCATTTAATAACAGTCTAAGATATTGACATTTTCAAGGTTCGGGTTTCAGACAATTTTATGGCTTTCTGGGGGACACAAGTGTTTAATAATATTATAAGATAATAATATTAATAAACTTAATCTGAATCACTATCAACAGTATCTCTATAAGTAAACCATTCTATAATCAACCTTTTCTTTTCTAACAAATGACAGACGAATTTATGGTAAAACTCATTATCAAAAATGTTTTTATAAACGACTTTGTCTTTGTTTTCTATATATTGCCATTTCAACATTTTAAGAAAATCTCTACACATCGAGATGCTAAAATCTTTACAAGATACATAACCATCATTATGATTAAAAAGTAAATTATAATGAAATTGAGTAGCGGTTTCATAATACAAGATTAACCTATTATCGTATCCATACTCTTTTAAAGTTTTGTCAAAATCAGTTGTAAATATTGTATGTAATGACTTTTTCGTCGGACATTTATTTAACTTCGTCATATACCAAATCCACTTATCCATTTCCTTTAAATTGTCAGGTTCGTTTTTCATTAACTGTTTTGTCATGGTGCATCTTTTACAACTTACAAAACTCAAAATATTATCAATGATACAGTCAGGAAATATGTCATTTGCTTTTTTGACTTTGTCGTTGAATATCTTACAACCACGGCATTTTACAATTTCTTTTGTCAATTCTTCTCTGATACACTTGTTCATGTTTTGTTCTTAATATATTAAGGGGTCATTTCTTAAGTATTTTTAGTTTTTGCAGGGTTGGTATTTTGGGTTTCAGTTTCATCATTTTCACTTTCAGCATTATTTTATGTCTAAATCATGTTTGTTATTTCTTACATATTAATTCACGGTATAATGATTGAATTGGTTTTATATCGTCCTTTTTGTTTTTGTTGTTTTCCATTTATCAAACATATCTTTGTATTTACTAAATTCATTTGTTGATATTTTCCCTTTGTTCAATCCTTCTTTGAATGCTTCGTCCAACAGTTGTATATTCATTCTTGAGGGTGCTGTTTTGTCTTTTTGTATTGTCTTTTTTGGTTTGGTTATTTCAGGTGTCGTGTCGTCTTTATCTTTGTCAGGTTGTAATCCAGATGATGATGACGTTGCACCTTGTGCTATTTCAGGAGTGTGCTGTATTGCTTTTAGCATCTTCTTTTCTTCTTTGTTTGTTTTACTTCTTGCTTTTGGTCTCATCTCTTCTGGTGCGTCTCGTTCTTGTCGTTTTTGTGCGTCATCTCTGATGCTTTCTATCGCCATTGTCTCGCTTTCATCCATTGTTATTGCTTCCAATGACGCCTTTTCTTTTGCTTTTGCTTCTGCTTTTTTCGTTTTTGATGGCTTAATTACTTTTGCTACTGCCTCTGGCGACTGGGAAGAACTTGAAGCAACTGTTGCGTTAAGATTTGCCATATCTTTAAATGCTTGTGTTCCTTGAAATATATTTGCTAAATCTTGACCTAAACTTACATCCATTTGTTTCATTCTTTGTAATCTTTGGTTCATATCATTAAAATGTTGTTGTCTAACGCTTTGAGAAATATAACTGATTTGTTGTTCGTGTTGTTCTTCTGCTTCGTCCATTGTAGCATCCAGCGCTTCTGTTGCTTCATCTCTTAAATCATCCATTTCATCGTCCTTCGCTATATCAAAATGCGGGACTGTTTTAGGTTGTTCTAATATTTTTTGAAAGTGTTGTTGTCTCAAATCTACGGTATTATTATCATAAACTGTTCCTAATGGACTGTCGCGAAAATAATAAGCGTTTCTGTGTATTACATCTCTGATATTCTTATTTTTATATTCTTCCTTTGTAATTTCCTTGATGGGTTCATTGTAAGACGGTCTTAATCTCAATTGTGAGTTTAGCGTTTTCATCTGTGCATTGTCTAATCTCATTAGTATATAAAATTAATTAGATGATAATTTAATTAATCTAATATAGTGTAATCAATTTGTTCAAAATCAAAATCTTGTCTTAATGGTTAATTATTCCATTTTTCTTCTTAATCATTTCCGAATAGGTTTTACCTGTTTCACTTGATGGATGCTGTCTCAATTGTTCACCTTCCAACCTTTGAATTTCATTAAAATACGCCTGTGCTTCATCCATATATCTTCTTTCATTTTGAAATATAGCATAATCTTTCTTTGCATTATGAAATTCTAACTGTTCCTTCATTTCTTTCAGATATGTATAATTTGGTTGAGGAGCCTTGTTGTCTCCTTCATAATAGTAATGGACGTTTGATTTAAACTTCTTACTTGGTTTTGTTATGGGATTATAAAATGTGTTTGATGTTGGTAATTTACCTGCTGTGCCATTCTTTGTAAGTGTTGATGTTATATTTCCAAAATATGACTTGTTCATATAATAATAATTAGATTAACTCATTTTACTTGCTAAATTAATATTTTTCTGTTTATTTTTATTATCTCGATCTGCCTTCATATTATTGTATCTACCTTTCGCTGTTTCAAATACTTTATTAGCAGTTGTTTCTAAATGTTTTTCAATCGTTCTTCAACTCGTCTTTCTATTTCTTGTTCATCCACTTTTGGAATATTATCTTTAACTTTTTCATATACGTTATTCTCAAATTCTTTTGCTTGTGCAGGATGCATAATTTTTCTACGGACAACTTTGTTAGGGTCTGGTTCTTTTTTAACTGGTATTCCATTACAGTTATGACGATATTTGAAAGTGTATTTTGTTAAATATGTTTTACACTTTGGACAGTCCACTTTTTCAGTTGAGTATGTTTTAGATTTTAATTCTTGTTTTGGTTCTTCTTCTTCTTCTACTTTACTATTTTCTTCATTTATAATATTACTAGTTTCTACTTCTTTACTTTCTTCATTAATAATAGGTTCTTCTTTACTTTCTTCTACTTCTTTAGCTGCTTCAGTACTTCACTGCCTACGTCTATAATTTCAATATTTTTAACCATATAATTAGTATATAATAAATATATATTAAAATATTTCAATATAATCAGTATAACACATATTTATATTAACATATTTATTACATACGTTTCTAACCCTCAAAAAATGTTAAAGAAAAAGAAGATGTTGTTCCATTCATATTTAAAACTCTACCCGATGCATCAGTAAATCTAAAGTGTAATCTTCTTAATGAACGCATACTAACATCATTAGCATCATTTAAAATTAGTTCATTATCATATATGAGGTTGCCGAATGATGTTAAAACTGGTACTTTCTTCTTTATTGATGAAGTACCAAAACTACATAACTGGTTTCCGCTACTTAATTCATTACAATGAATATAAATAGTTTTAACAGGTAAACATGATATAAATCCACTAACAAACGGGTCTGCAGTAGGATTTATTTTTTCAGTAGTATTTCCTCAAATGTCATTAATACTATTAGGATAGTCTCTATCACAATCAACACCAAAACTCTAATTAGTTTATAATTCTTTATCTGTATGGATTATTTTAAAAAAAAAGAAATATAATTACAACTTATAGCTATAGTATTAGTTTTTTAATGAATAGCTACAAGTAAAAAAATCACTATTTCCATCAGTTCCATTAGTAGCAGTATTCAATTTATTTTGTAATTCGGTTGCTAATTCACTACCTACATAACTACCTTTATCAGGTGCTACAATAAAATAATATACTGGTGCTCCGATTAATATCCCTCCTAATGTTAAATATAATCTGTTATTTACATTATCTTCAATTGGATAAAATGAATTAGCGATAGATACTTCGTGACAAATCATTTTAGTATTTGGTCCGCATTCTTGTTGCTCTCTTAAATTAATAACAAAATCTGATGTAGATTGACTGTCATTCAAATCACGATAAGCACTGTTGATATATATTTTACGAAATCTCATTATATGAATTACTTAGATAATGCTTATTTAATAAAATAATTATAGATTAATGATAAAAAATAATAAATTAAAAATATCAACAATTAATATAATGAAATATAAATATTATTTAAAAGAAGGAAAATTAAAATCATACAATCCACTTCATCAAGGTCATAGCAAAATGTAGAGAAAAATAATTAATGAAATTCAACAAGAAAAATCATTATTCAAACCTAAATATAATAATAATTTAGCTGACACTGAAGGATTAAACAAAGCATATACAAATGGT